AAGTGCAGGTATCCTATTTTACAGTAGGGTGACCATAGTCAACAACGAGGTATATCTCAAAATAGCTAGAAGAAAAGGTTCCTATATTCCCACCACAAAGAAATGATAAATGTTTGAGGTGATGGATATGCTAATTACCTTGATTTGATCACTACACAATGTATACAGGTATTGAAACATTATAGTGTATCCAATAAATATGTACAATTATTGTGTGCCAATTAAAAAATTTAAAAATTAAGTACAAATCATTTGTATTATGACATTACACAGGTTTTAAGTAAAATAGAGTTATCTGCCATGTTTGAAGAATTCCCATCCTATGAGTCATGGTGTACCAAGAGTACCACCCAATACGGAAATTTAAAAATCACTTTCCCAGGCTCCCTTATACCCAAAGCATAGACATGTTACCTCAGCTCTATCGATTAGAGTTCTCCTGCATTGGACGTTGAGCCTGAAGCTGGTGAATCAAAAGAAGTAGGAATTTTGTGGAATCAATGCTGGGACGGGGCAGCCATGGTGGCAATGACTTTTCAGAAGGAGCAGTGGTTCTACCAGCAACATCCAGTATCTAGCATTGATACTGTTGAAAGCAGCAGCATCTGTGTGTAGCAAGAGCAGCAGCAGCAGAAACAGGTGTCTTTGTAAATCCAGTTCTGGTGTGATTTTGGAACTATTTCCTGGATGAGAGTTTCCAAGTGTGGCTTTCCAACCACCCTGAAGAGCCTGAGATAACAAAATAGTCATTATTAAAATTACTCTTCACTCAAACAAAGACAAAAAAAAAAAAAAAAAAAACAACCAGGGAATTAAGAATGGATATTTAAGGCCGGGCGCGGTGGCTCAAGCCTGTAATCCCAGCACTTTGGGAGGCCGAGGCGGGTGGATCACGAGGTCAAGAAATCAAGACCATCTTGGTCAATATGGTGAAACCCTGTCTCTACTAAAAATACAAAAAAAAAATTAGCTGGGCATGGTGGCACGTGCCTGTAATCCCAGCTACTCAGGAGGCTGAGGCAGGAGAATTGCCTGAACCCAGGAGGTGGAGGTTTCAGTGAGCCGAGATCGTGCCATTGCACTCCAGCCTGGGTAACAAGAGCGAAACTCCATCTCAAAAAAAAAAAAAAAAAAAAAAAAAAAAGAATGGATATTTAACAAACATATTAATCAGAAGCATTTCCACAATAGCAAAGTAAAGACACCCAAAAATCTGCTCTGTGAAAGCAAGGAGGACAAGTGGCAAAAAAAAAAAAAGGTCAAAATCAACGTTTTCAGAACTCTGGATGATAATAGTCTTGCAACAATCCAAGGAGTACTTTTTTTCAAAGGCCTTATTTCAAGGCCAAGTATCGTTAGCTCATGCCTATCAGTCTCAGCATTTTGGGAGGCTGAGGAAGGAGGATTGCTTGAAGCCAGGAGTTCGAGAGTAGCCTGGGCAACATAGGGAGACTCTGTCTCTACAATAAATTAAAAAAAAGAAAATTGGCCATGTGTGGTGGTTCACTCTGGGTGGTAATCCCAGCACTTTGGGAGGCCAAGGCGGGCAGATCACGAGGTCAGGAGATGGAGACCATCCTGGCTAACACAGTGAAACCCCGTCTCTACTAAGAATACAAAAAGTTAGCCAAGCGTGGTGGCATGTGGCTGTGGTACCAGCTACTTGGGAGGCTGAGGCAGGAGAATCACTTGAACCTGGGAGGCAGAGGTTGCAGTGACCTGAGATCATGCCACTGCACACCAGCCTGGGCAACACAGCAAGACTCTGTCTAAAAAAGGAAAATTAGCTGAGCATGGTGGCACATGCCTATTGTCTCAGCTACTCAGGAGGCTGAGGTGGGAGAATTGCTTAAGACCAGAAGTTAGAGGCTGCAGTGAGCAAATGATTGTGCCATTGCACTCCAGCCTGCCTGGATAATGGAGTGAGACTATCCACCACCAACACCCCTCACAAAAAGGGTTTTATTTCTTTCAGTAAGAATAGGGAACTTGGTGTATTACCATCCTCCTCCCTCCAACTCCACGGTAGTCTTGAAAACCAGTATCTCTGCAACTACAGTGAGTACAAAAACCAAATGCTTAGGAACCACTGGGACACAACAGATTTAGAGCACTCCACAAAAACCAGTTCCTATAGTATTGAAGCTATTTGACTTATTTGGTAATTCAGTGAAACAAGCTGTACACTCAATATTTGTCCTTCTCTCACCTGACTCAGAGCTCATTCTGCAAAAAGCTGTAGCCCTAGATTGAGTCTCAGAAACATTTGGTGGCAGCTGTTTAACATCACACCCATCTCAGGTGGCAGTACAAGTTAGGGCTAATTAGGGACTGACATCAATCAATCAATCAATCAAACTGGGGAATACATTATCCATTGAGGGCTTAAAAAATCTCCAACACATTCCTGGGACTCTAGAAGGCCACAATCATGGGCAGAACTGTGTACATGGTCAGGACACAGCTGAGAACAGGCTAGTCTCTCACTGCTACCTGACCTTGAGGGTCTACACAAGCTGGAAGAGAAAGCTAAGGCAGTGTTGTTACCAGACTGCTAGAACATCAAAGTCATGCCCCAATACACTCAGAGAACCCCTCAGCAAAGGCTTGAAGTTTTATTGTTTCAAAGCACTTAAGGAAAACACATTAAGTGAAATAGGAAGAATTCAAGAACAACAGTTGTAAACAATGAAACTTCACTTTCAATAAGGGATAGAACAACCAGGCAGAAAGTCAGCAAGAAAACAGAAGACTCAAACAGCACTATAAAACGACCATACTTGGCTGGGCACGGTGGCTCACACCTGTAATCCCAGCACTTTGGGAGGCTGAGGTGGGTGGATCACGAGGTCAGGAGTTCAAGATCAGTCTGACCAACACGGTGAAACCTCCGTCTCTACTAAAAATACAAAAATTAGCCAGTCATGGTGGCAGACTCCTGCAATCCCAGCTACTCAGGAGGCTAAGGCAGGAGAATAGCTTGAACCCAGGAAGTGGAGGTTTCAATGAGCTGAGATTGCACCACAGCACTACAGCCTGGGCAACAGAGCAAGACTCCGTCTCAAAAACAAAAACAAAACAAAATGACCAGACCTAATAGACATACAGAACACTTCTCCATTAATAGCAGAACACATATTCTTTTCAAATGCACATGGAATATTCTCCAGCATAAGCTGTATGCTACATTATTTTTAAAAACCTCAAAAAATTTAGAAAAATTGAAGTCATACAAAGTATTTTCTGTGACCATGATGAAATCAAATAAGGACTTAACAAAAGGAAATTTGAGAAGTTCACAAGTATGTAGAAATTAAACAACAAACTCCAAAATGGCCAATAAGTTAAATAAAAAATGCAGCAGAAACTGAGAAGTAATTTGAGATGGATAAAAATTAAAAGAGCATATGAAACTATGGAATCCAGCTAAGTTAGTTCATGGAGAAAAATTTATAGGTGTAAATGCCTGTATTTAATTTAATTTATTTATTTATTTGCACCCTGCCTGACATCTTGCTTTTTAAATAAAATACTGGGACTGGGCACAGTGGCTCACACCTGTAATCCCAGTAATCCCAACACTTTGGGAGGCCAAGGCAAGTAGCTCGCTTGAGGCCAGGAGTTCGAGACCAGCCTGGGCAACATGACTAAATCTGGTCTCTACAGAAAATACCAAAAATTAGCAGGGCCCTGGTGGCTTGTGCCTATAGTCCCAGCTATTCAGGAGGCTGAGCAGGGAGGATCACTTTAACCTGGGAAGCAAAAGTTGCAGTGAGACAAGGTAGCACCACTGCACTCCAGCCTGGGCAACAGAGTGAGACCCTGTCTCAAAATATTAATAATAATAAAATAAAATAAAAAGTAAGATGTCAAATCAATAACTGATTTTCCACTTTAAGAAACCAGGAAAAGAAAAACAAATTAAATGCAAAGCCAGCAGGAGAAATGAACTAATAAGAATTAAAGTAAAAATTAATAAAATAGAGGGTATAAAAACAATAGAGAAAAATCAACAAAACCAAAAGTTGGTTTTGGAAAAAATCAACAAAATTGACAAACCAGTAGTTATATTGACCAATAACAACAGAGAGAAGACTTAACTAAAATCAGGAATAAGAGAGAAGACACTGATACAGACCCTACAGAAATAAAAAGGAATGTAAGGAAATATGATGAACAATTTTACATCAACAAATCGGATAACCCAAATGAAACAGGTGACTTCCTAGAAAGCAAAAACTATTGAAATTGACTCAAGAAGAAATAGAAAACCTAAATAACTCCAGTCTGGGTGACAGAGCAAGACCCTGGTCTAAAAAAAAAAAAAAAAAAAAAAAAAAAAAAATGTAAAAAAAATGTAAGAAAAAATTAAAATGAATAGAAAATCTGAATGGATATATAAGAAGCAATGAGATTGAATTAATAATTTAAAAAGAAAAACTTTCCATGAAGAAAAGCCCAGGACTAGATGCTTCCCAGATGAATTTTACCAAAATGAAGAATTAACACCAATTTTTCACAAATTCTTCCAAAAAACAAGAGGGAACACTTTGCAGTTCATTCTATAAGCCTAGTATTACTCTGATATTAAAGAATGACAGACATAACAAGAAAACTACAGACCAATATCTCTTATGAATATGTACATAAAAATTCTCAAAACAAACCTCTGGGCTGGGCACGGTGGCTTATGCCTGTAATCCTAGCACTTTGGGAGGCCGAGTCAGGTGGATTACTTGAGGTCAGGAGTTCGACACCAGCCTGGCCAGCATGATGAAACCCCGGCTCCCCGTCTCTACTAAATATAAAAAAGTTAGCCGGGCATGTCGGCGCATGCTTGTAATCACAGCTACTCCAAAGGCTGAGACACAGAATTGCTTACACCTGGGAGGTAGAGGTTGCAGTGAGCCAAAATTGTGCCACTGCTCTCCAGTCTAGGTGAGAGAATGAGACTGTCTCAACAAAAACAAAAGCAAAAAACCCTAAAACGTAGGAAACTGAGCTTTGCGCAGTGGCAGTATTGTAGCCAATGAGGTTTATCCGAGGCATGCTAATTGAAAACTTTTCCCAATACCCCGCCATGACAACTTGAAATATAGTCAGCATTGGCAATTTTTGACAGTCTCTATGGAGACTGAATTAAAAAAAAAAAAAAAAAAAACACCTTAGGAAACTGAATCCAGCAACACATGAAAAGGATTACACACCATGACCAGCTAGGATTAATCCCAGGAATGCAAAGTTTGTTTAATGCCTGAAAACCAATATAGCACATCATATTAATACAAAGAAAAAATACATGCTAACCTTAACAGATACAGAAAAACACTTGACAAAATACAATACTCTTCCATGATAAAAACAAATACACACAACAAACTAGAAATAGAAAGTGTTAGGAAGTGAATTGTGTTCCACCTTCAAATTCTTATGTTGGAGCCCTAACCTCCAATGAGGTTGTATTTGGAGACAGGAGCTTTAAGGAGGTAATCAAGGTTAAATACGGCTGGGCGTGGTGGCTCAAGCCTGTAATCCCAGCACTTTGGGAGGCTGAGGCAGGTGGATCACGAGGTTGAGAGATCGAGACCATCCTGGTCAACATGGTGAAACCCCGTATCTACTAAAAATACAAAAAATTAGCTAGGCATGGTGGCACGTGTCTGTAATCCCAGCTACTCAGGAGGCTGAGGCAGGAGAATTGCCTGAACCCAGGAGGCGGAGGTTGTGGTGAGCCGAGATCGTGCCATTGCACTCCAGCCTGGGTAACAAGAGTGAAGCTCCGTCTCAAAAAAAAAAAGAAAAAGAAAAAGAAAAAAAGGTTAAATGAAGCAAGGCACATTGGTCACACCTGTAATCTCAGCAGTTTGGGAGGCCAACGCGGGTGGATCACTTGAGGTCAGGAATTCGAGACCAGCCTGGCTAACATGGTGAAACTTTATCTCTACTAAAAATACAAAAATTATCTGGGCGTGGTGGTGCATGCCTGTAATGCCAGCTACTCGAAAGGCTGAGGCAGAATCACTTAAATCCAGGAGGCAGAGGTTGCAGTGAGCCGAGATCACACCACTGCACTCCAGCCTGGGTGACACAATGAGACTCCATCTTAAAAAAAAAAAAAAAAAGAGGTTAAATGAGGTCATATGGGTGGGTCCCTAATCTGAGGGGGACTACTGTCCTTATAAGAAAAGGAAGAGACATCAGCTCTCCTCCACTTCACGAACACAAACACAGAGAAAAGGCATTCAAGGACAAAGTGAGAATGCAGCCATCTACAATCCAGGAAAAGAGTCCTCAACAGAATCGAATCAATGGGACCTTGATCTTGAAAATTTAGTCTCTAGAACTATGGGAAATAAGTGTCTGTTTAGGCCACCCAGTTTCTGGTATTTTCTTATGGTAGCCCCAGCAGACTAATGCAGAAGGAACTTCCCCAATCTGATAAAGACTATCTAAAAAAGCCCCACAACTGGCTGGTGCAGTGGCTCCTGCCTGTAATCTCAGCACTTTGGAGGCCAAAGTGGGAGGACTGCTTGAGCCTAGGAGTTCAATACCAGCCTGGGCAACATAGGGAGACCTCAACTCTACTTAAAAAAAAAAAAAAAGGCTGGGTGCAGTGGCTCATGCCTGTAATCCCAGCACTTTGGGAGGCCAAGGTGGGCAGATCATGAGGTCAAGAGATTGAGACCATCCTGGCCAACATGGTAAAACCCCATCTCTACTAAAAATAGAAAAGTTAGCTGGGCATGGTGGTGCACACCTGTAGTCCCAACTACTCAGGACACTGAGGCAGAAGAATTGCATGAACCCAGGAGGCGGAGGTTGCAGTGAGCAGAGATCATGCCACTGCACTCCAGCCTGGTGACAGAGCGAGACTTCATCTCAAATAAATAAATAAATAAAAATAAAAATTGCAGGGCAAGGTGGATCCTCCCCAGCTACTTTGGAGGCTGAGAGGAGGCTCACTTGACCCCAGGAGGTCGAGGCTGTAGTGAGCCGTAATCATGCCACTGCGCTCCAGGCTGAGTGACAGAGCAAGATCCTTTCTCAAAAAAAAGAAGGCCTAATGTCTCTCTTCTCCAAATCCTGTGTTTCTTTTTCTTTTTTCTTTCTTTTTTTTTTTTTAATTTGACACAGGGTCTCACTGTCGCCCAGGCTGGAGTGCAGTAGCTCAATCACAGCTCACTGCAGCCTCCACCTCCTGGGCTCAAGTGATCCCACCTCAGCCTCCAGGGTAGCTGGGACCACAGGCACTTGCCACCATGCCAGGCTAATCTTTTTGTATTTTCTGTAGAGACAAGGTTTCTCCACGTTTCTTAGGCAGGTCTCAAACTCCTGGGCTCAAGTGATCAGCCCTCCTTGGCCTCCCAAAATGCTGAGATTACAGGCTTGAGTTACTGTGCCCAGCCCCCATTTCACCTTTCGTTTGGTGAGACATCTCATAGTTTCTCTGACGTGCAGTCTCTTTTGTTGCAGCAAGTCAGTAAACCTCACTTCTTTCAGCCACAGGTTTGTCTGTGATGATCTGAGGCTGACTGGGCTGGAAAAATAACATGGAGGTATGGCCAAGATCCTCGCTACCATGAACCAGATAACAGAACCCTCGGTAATAGTACACACATCTGAGACTTCGTGAGTCTCTCTTGCATTAGGCCTCTCTGTCCTTGATTACATGGGTTTTGCATTGAACCTGGACTTTTACTATCTCTTTGACCCTTCAGAGTCATGCTGATTTCTTGAATCAGCAGGCAGAGCAATTTATCCTTTGGGTTAGGGCCTAAATTAATGAGTGTTTCTTTTTTTTTTTTTTTTTTTTTTTGAGACAGAGTTTCGCTCTTGTTACCCAGGCTGGAGTGCAATGGTGCGATCTCGGCTCACCGCAACCTCCGCCTCCTGGGTTCAAGCAATTCTCCTGCCTCAGCCTCCTGAGTAGCTGGGATTACAGGCAAGCGCCACCATGCCCAGCTAATTTTTTGTATTTTTAGTAGAGATGGGGTTTCACCATGTTGACCAGGATGGTCTCGATCTCTCGACCTCGTGATTCACCCGCCTCGGCCTCCCAAAGTGCTGGGATTACAGGCTTGAGCCACCGCGCCCGGCCCTTTATATTTTGTATTTTAAAAAGAGAGAGAATTTATTTTAAAACTGTTTATTTTATATTACTTATAAAAGTATTTTTATTTTTGACCACCACCCAACCTCTTGTGGTTTGCCTCTAAGATACTTGCACTACTTCCTGGCATAACTTCACAGAGGACAGTGAATTGTAGAGGCTACTCTGGAGAACTTTGGCTCAAATAGATTGTTCATTTTAGACATATCTTAGAATGGAAAAGGAAAAAAACCCAGCTCTCGTGAGGGGACTGTCTTCTCTATTCTTTTTTATCAAAATTTCTTTTTTTTTTTTTTTGAGATGGACTTCCAGTCGTTACCCAGGCTGGAGTGCAATGGCGCAGTCTCAGCTCACCGCAACCTCCGCCTCTTGGGTTCAAGTAATTCCCCTGCCTCAGCTCCCGAGTAGCTGGGACTACAGGCGCGCGCCAACATGCCCAGCTAATTTTTGTATTTTTAGTAGAGACGGGGTTTCACCATGTTGACCAGGATGGTCTCGATCTCTTGACCTCGTGATCCACCCACCTCGGCCTCCCAAAGTGCTGGGATTACAGGCGTGAGCCACCGTGCCTGGCCCTTTTTTTCTCTTCTTAATTTTTTTTTTGTCTTGTCTTTCTAAAAGAGAGATCATTTAGTTTAATGAATGACTCCCTAGCTCCCCAAACATCCTTCATTTCCAGTCTTAGAAGTTTAATAAATATTGGCTGTTTTATTCTGTGAGCTGGTAAAATTGTCAAGGGCCCCAGCTACTGTTTCAACCAGGTGTAACAACTCATGTGTGTATGTGTATCCTGAAATGGGTTTTTCTATGTCTAAACTATTTCCCTCTCCTTAGAGCAGAAAGATTATTGGCTTTTCTCCAATGATTGTATATGTATCTATAGCTGGCTCCTGCTTTATCTTTTCTTTTTTTATTTTTTTGAGACGGAGTTTTGCTATTGTTGCCCAGGCTGGAGTGCAATGGCACAATCTTGGCTCACTGCAACCTCTGCCTCCTGTGTTCAAGCAATTCTCCTGCCTCAGCCTCTCCAGTAGCTGGGATTACAGGCATGCACCACCACACCCAGCTATTTTATTTTTATTTTTATTTTTATTTTTAGTAGAGACGGGGTTTCACCATGTTGGTCAGGCTGGTCTTGAACTCCTGACCTCATGATCCACCTGCCTCAGCCTCTCAAAGTGCTGGGATTACAGGCATGAGCCACCGTACCTGGCCTTCTTTCTTTCTTGTTCAAAGGGACAGAGTTGCACTATGTTACCTAGACTGGAGTAATCACAGATGTGATTACAGTACACTCCAGCAGTGAACCCCTGGCCTTAAGGGATCCTCCTGCCTCAGTCTCCTGAGTAGCTGGGACTACGGGCGCATGCCACTGTGCCTGGCTTCTTCTCACTTTCTTCTTCTGTTTTCTCCCTCCTATCCTCTCTCAATAAATTTTAAAGGTAAATTGACTAAAAAAATCATTCTGTTGTCAGATGTGCACTCTAGAAATATCTAGTCCACATAAATAATAAAAAATTCTAAAAAGAAAAAGTTAAAAATTGTATTTTATTATATAAAAATGCGAACACTATATTTTAATTTTCCTAATACCAAAGTTAAATTCCTAATGCTTTAAACTTTCTAAGTTTTTTTTTTTTTTTTTTTTTTTTTGAGACGGGGTTTCGCTCGTTACCCAGGCTGGAGTGCAATGGCGCGATCTTGGCTCACCGCAACCTCCGCCTCCTGGGTTCAGGCAATTCTCCTGCCTCAGCCTCCTGAGTAGCTGGGATTACAGGCACGCGCCACCATGCCTGGCTAATTTTTTGTATTTTTAGTAGAGACGGGGTTTCACCATGTTGACCAGAATGGTCTCGATCTCTTGACCTCGTGATCCACCCGCCTCGGCCTCCCAAAGTGCTGGGATTACAGGCTTGAGCCACCGTGCCCAGTCACTTTCTAAGTTTTTATGTTGGACTTAAGAGTGAAATAACTTATTTCCAAAAATTGTTTAAGATGGAAAATACAATATGGTGTTTAATTAA